TATTTTGACTTACAGCTGAGGGTATGTTTCTCATTTGGAACTTTTTGTCCTGTGTCCCTCTATAAAAACTAAAATAGACTAAGTTTAGGCCGAAAAAAATGCATTTTGAATCTAGACTGACTTTTTTTTCTTATAACAGTCTAGTATGACTTAAATACCAGGCTCCAGCACCCATATTAAGAAGTTTGCCTTCCCTTAGTATGAGTGCCCAAGAATGATGTTTTCAAAGGCCATTCCTAGTGTAAGACTTAGTAATAAACAGGAAGGCACATTGAACACACCTGGCACACAGGAATTTATTTTAACACCTCCTATGTCTTCTGACATTTGAGTATTTTGCAACAGTGGGCAAACAACTTACTGCTCTTGAAAAGAATTAAGATTATCCAATGCTAAACACAATTCCAAAGTACTAAGATGAACGGGATCGCTGAAGTATCGGATGGATGTTTAAAGCCTCCTTAGTGTTTGACAGTATCTTGGGGAACAAGAGAGTTGTTAAAAATAAGACAGGGGAGGAAGGACTTTATACTCCTCCCAAACTGAGTACTTTTCCAGAATTTGCCCTTTGATTTTTTTTCTGGGGACTGTTGGTGAAGAGCAGATTAATAGTGCTGCCCCTTTGGAGTCCAGCAAGGCTGACTGAGAAGTCTGTCTGGGGAGCTGCCGGCCCGGTAGCAAGAGAGTCCCTGTTGTAGACAGTACTAACAAAACCAGGGGCAAGCTGTCCCTCTGCAACAAATCAGTACCCATGCACAGCAAAGGCTCAGCAGCAGATGCCAGTGGGGCAGCTTCACTAGCATTAATGTTTTTCCTCATTATCTGCTTTCTGAAAAGCAATTATTGCCTTGGATTTGTGGCAATATGGAATGCCATGCTTGAATTTAGAGGCGTTACCAGTTTGTTCAAACCAAATGATTTGTAGCTATGGCTCGGCAGTACCTTTGTGAGCACAAGCCACGCAGATTCAAGATTGGGTTTTGTGGGCTTTAAAGCTGCAGAACTATATTCAGAGTAAATCAAATCTCTGAGGTTCTTTCCAGTTTGAGGTCTTCTTGTGTGGGAAGAAGAGATTAGTGAGGGAGCAGGTGGAAAGGTTCAAATAGCCAGAGAGAAGGGAGATCTGCCAAGCCAAAAGGCTTGTGCTGGAATCCAGCAGATACAGGAAGAGGTCTGGGCTTCCTGCCTGCCATGAACAAAAGGGAATAAATTGGCCTGGGGAGGTGAAACGTCATAGACTGGTGTCCCTAGAGCAGCTATATGCACCCTAGACTTTGCAGCATGAATAGCACTTTGTTATTCCATGTCATACAGGTGGATGATAGGAGGACTGTTAGGCACATCTTGACCACAGCAGGACACCACAGATGACAACTAATCCCCCAGACAGAAAGTCCAGTATTTTTGAATGGATCATTTGGAGAGACTCCTAACAGTAAGTTGAACTCCCTGGGAGAATATGGGATGTGCATGCTTTTTGCAAAGGCACCTGCAAAGGGAATCAGAAGGAAAGAAATTGCAGCACAGATTTCTGTATGTGACTTGAAACTGGTTGATGCCCAGTACCCATTCCAGCCTCGGGCTGTCTGCTCAGCCTGCCATCCAGCTCCAGATTTAGCATTTGTACACCAAACCACTTCACAAGTAGAGGCAGATTGCATTTCACCTAAAAGTAGTCAAATTGCCTAATTTGTCAGGCATTTGTTACCAGCACTGTGAGCAGGTGAACTTGAAAGGTAGATGTCTGGTTGCAGAATTTCTGGCTTTCCCAAGCTGTGAGTGAGACAGTTTATTACTTGCTTTTCAATATCCTGAGCTGCTGGCTGCTAGGCTGTTACATCCCCATAGGAATGTCAACAAGAACTTGTTTCTCACACATAGCTTCACTAGTCTCGCGGCCAGGACATTGTATTACACAAACAGCAGCCCGTTCCAGCATAGCCATTTTTACGCAGCAAGGCAACTTTGATAAACTTTGCGTTCAAACCTGAGTGAATAGATTGTTCAATAATGAGAAACCAGCTCTGTAAACTTGGAGAAAATAACAGAACTGCTCCTCCAATAATACTGAAATCCAGAGTTCTTTCTTTCACCATACAAGTAAGATTTAATTTACACAGCACAGGCCCTGCTGGGCAAGCAGTGATGTGAATGGCTTAGTAATGTAGAGGTTAGAGCAAAGGTGCAGCCCAGGCCTCAGTAGTAACCTTGCCTGCGCATTCAGCAAGATGATGCAGTCATGAGGACTACAGGCCTTGTCTCAGGAATCAAAGCGCAGGGTCTTTAATTTAAAAAAAAAATGTTCTCAATTTGAGAGCTTTCTCAGGGTTAGTCTGTTTGAAACATGTTCATCACTGCATTAGAGAATCTATTTTAGTGTAGGTTAAGTGGCTTCCTAATGAATATCTTAATCTAATACCACAGCTAATCTTCTCAGACAAGCCTCCAGCATATGTATAAATACACTCAAATGGGAGTGGCTGCTGGACAAGTGCTTTTTAAAGTCGACAATGTCTCACTCTTTGAAGAGCTTGCATTAAGGGGGAAAATCATAAAACAGCTTCAAGTAACACATTTTGCTTTGTCTTCAGTGTTTTCTGTCTATTTCAACTGTACCACTGCAGATTTGGTATATTGTTCACTTAAATTTATTGTTAGAAAAGCTCAGTGCAGAAAATGCCATTAAGGTACCAAGCCAATAGTTGCAGCACAATTTTACCTGTTCAGGTAAAGCTGTAAGATACTGACTGAAACCCACACAGATGTTTTGTGCACTCAGGGGTAGTGCACGTGCACAGAACTTTAAGAGCTTTCTATTTGTACACAGTAAGCATAGTCATAATGAAACTGTAGAAATACTTGTTACAGTGAAGCTGTAGCCCCTAAAATGAAAGGAGACTCATGTTAATACTTACTTTTCAACCCAGGGCATGTTATCTAAGTCCTATTTTCCTTTAAGTTCACGTACTAACTTCAGTCCCACATTAGTTTCCTGTTGAGAGAGTTGAGGACCAGTGTGTGCACATGCCCCTGTGTTTAAGGCCACTGAAGCAGCGTCAACCATTTAAACTGTCAGCTCCATCCTCTCCCCTTTGAGTCAGCTGCCAGGAATGATCCCACATTCCTTCCAGAGCTGCAGTGCTTCTCACACAGAAGCAGTTACAGGGTAACTTTTCATGCTGGACAAGCAATTCACAAGAAGCTTAGTGTTGAGTCCAGCTCCCACCTGTATTTCCTACTTCGTTCTCCTCTATAAATATCATCTCCTTCAGGAGAGCTTTTATTCATCTGAATCTTTAGGTTGCTCAAGACAAGCAAAGAGCAAAGCTACTATCTGCAGAAGTAACTCACCCACAGAACAAGTTGATCTGTCATGTAGCAACGGGGGGGGGGGGCTTGTTTTATACCAGAACACCGAAACTCCAACTTGCCATTGCAGTTGTTAGTTTGTCTTCGTCTCTCTCCCTCTTCACCCTCCCCTCAACATCCCCCCCCAGGATTTTCTTTAGCTGTTTTGTGGCCTGCATGAGCCGGCAGCCCAGCCCACTCTCAAAGGATTTGTTTAATGAAAAAAGCTGATACTGAAGCCCCAGTAACATTTCAGACACTTGTTCTTCACAGCAGCTCTAGTATTGTCCAACCAGCTGGATGCCCCATTAACCACTAGATGCAGGAGGTGTGCCTCTGAAGCTCATCTGACAGTCCATCACCCAAATTCTTTCTATTTCACATATTTAGACTGTGCCACCATGCAAAGCAGGAAAGAATTAGCAGAGGTAATTACATCAGCAATGTGCTTTTGAAGTAAATGTCCTGGAACAAAATGCTAATTTATGCACTTCCAGAACCCCTATGAAACTATGCTCTTTGGCCCAGGTTCATTCTAGGGAAATGGTATTTGCAAGGTAGAGCTAGGTTTCACAATATGGGAAGAAGAGCTTGCTCAAGTGGCATTACGGATTTGTAACTGAAGTTACCAAAAGCAGTCAAGAAGAACAGCTTTCACCTTCTGTCATATTAAAAAAAAAAAAAAAGTTAAGCTGGAAGTGTTCTACTTTGTGGCTTACTAGAAGGCCACAACTTAAAGTACATTTGTGTTAAAATGCCTAGTCTTGAAAAATACTATACGAGTTTAAGCTAAGTAGTTGCTAACAATACTGGGGTATTGCTCCTAGGTAGGCAGGGTGTGCCACCTAGCTCTGTTTCAGAAAGAATCCTATTCCCTGGCCATCACAGCAGTCCAGATTTTTTCAAAGCCTGCTCCCACCCTGACAAAGTAATTCATTAAGCCCAAAGCCCAGACAGTCCTTTCCAACCTTTGCTCTCCTCTCAGCAGGATGGTCTGACGAAAAGGGACCTATCTGCCAAGCCTTCATTTGAGCTGAGGTGCTTCCTGGAGCGTAGTGAATAGAGAATGAAGTACTTTGGGGTTAGACCTTTCTTACTCCAAAGCCACTTCTCAGGAATTCTTTAGCACTAATATTTCAGATCAAGCAACTCACTTCTTTCCAAGTCACTAAAATGAGTCAGTTCACTGGTCAGGTAGTAATGGACTGTCAGTCTCAAAGTCTTTATTGCTTACTTAACACATTACATAAGTTAAAACACTTAAGTTCCTACTACAGTGTAGGTAACCACACTTCCTAGTATGCTTCCAAAGCCCTAAGCGGTCAGTACAAAGGTGCATCCCATAGCCCCACTCAAAGCAGCGCAAAACTTAGGCCAGGGTCCAGATCTACCTGGACAGGCAGCTGCTTGGAATGCTGCTCATGCCTTCCCAGCCTACCTTGCCCATCTTCAGAACGTGTTTCAAGTTGATTTTTCAGGTTGTCAAATTACTTCCTAACGGCTGAGATCTGCTGCTCGTGCAGTTTAACCGTGTTTGATACAGAATTTAGAGCTCTGCACCTGAGAAGGTCTGCTGAGGAAGGGCTAAAGTTTAGGGGTCTGTGATTAATATAAGCAGTTTTGCCATTAGATAAGCAGCTTCCAAAATCCCGTTAATGGTATCCCCACCACTGATGAACAATTTGATCTTCATGTTCAGTCACTAGGGTCCTATTACCACATTCTTCCCAACGTCTGACCTTCCCATTCTCCACCAAGATGAATTTCCACTCTACTTGGGTGTCTACTGGCAGACTAATGGATTCAGACCAGAAGCCATCCTTCTCATACTTGAGGGGAACATAGCTCTGCCACTGGCCAAGACACTCGTGGTCACCAGTAACGCCGATCAGCTGGATGTCAGAGTGCGTGATGTAGTGTACGCGGAAAGTCACATGGATGTTTTGAAACATGGGGGGCACAGCTACAACCCTCTTTGCCTTCACATCCCCATCAGGGCAGTCTCCTTGTTCCCATTCCTTGCTGTCAGAGTCTTCCACACTGCCATTCTTGCCAGCCTCCCCCCAGGCCAGCTGCTTGGAAACGACTTCCCACTCTTCGTGGTCCAAGTCCCTACTCTCAGCTGGCTGACCCAGCTGCTCCTCGCTCGTGTCCTTACACACATCGTTAGAGGCTCCTGCCAAGCTCATCACACACCATCCGTCACTTGCCTGTCCCATCTGGGGTCTCAGCGTGCCTGCCTGGCTGCCGTGCGGATCAGCTGGATGCTCCCTGGAGCCGGTGGCACCCTGCTCGGGGAGCAGCTGCTCCACCTCCAGAGGTTCTTCTGAAATTCCACCACTTTGAACGTGGTTAAGCTCTTTCCTTGGTGCGTCTCCCGGATCCTCTCCTGGCTTCCGAGAGCCGGACGGGGCAGCAGCCTCCCGCAGCACCTGCTCACCACTCGCCAGAAGATTCTCTGAAAGTGACATTAAACCGGAGCGGTTTAAGCAGCGCGGTGAGGCTTAGCAGCAGAGCCCACTGCCCGCCGACAGGCTCGGGCAGAGCGAGGCACCGAGCATCGCCCCCCAGCACCGCTCCGCGCAGCATCCCCGCCCG